CCCCCCCAAAACTTATTTATAGTAGCAAAATTTTTCATTCACAAATGTCGCTTCTTGAAAATTACTCTGATTTTTGTTGGCTTTAAAAATGAAGTCTTGCTGTGGAAGGCTTCATTAGACAAGTGTAACTTAAAGCTCACACCTTACTTGAATCTTTGATGCAGCTTTTCAATTGATGTAGCTAGATTGTATGTGCCTACTTTTATATGATAGGTCACCTTACTGTACTTTTATGCTGCTTTATGGTATTTCTGTCCTATAATATTCTTTAAATGCTCTTTGTTTGACGACTGCTTTGTTCTTAACCACTTATAACTGTATATAACTTTTTGTTGACATGTAAAATAAGCGCTGTATTGTAATTTTTTGACAATAAAGGGAAAAATTGTACTGCTACATCGGACTTATCTCAGTCTGGGTTGATGCATCAGTTTCACTTGAAGAATACTGAACACTCACGGATACCTTAGTAGCTTCAGCTGCTTCATTGCTCGTCTCCTCCATAACTGACACGGTGTCTGATTGGTCACCATCATCCACGAACATGTTGGCTACTGTAGAAGCGGGTTGTTGTTTACAACCATCCCGGAAACGGTTTAGCATCTCTGGTCTTATGAGTTTCTTAGCGCGGTTTTTACTCGCTTTTCCCAGACCCGTGGTCTCCTCATAGCGAAAAATTGTCGGGACTGCATTTGATTTTAGTCTTCGCTTATAACCAGAAGCACCTGTGAGCTCTTTTATCAACCGTGGTCGACTAAATGCCTCAAACGCATCAGGGCTAAAGTGGCTAGAGCACAGCCGCGGGTCTTTGGGGAGTTGTACTCGACCGCAAGCATCTTCCCATTGCTTTCTTCTTGTTTTCTCATGAGGAAAGCTGTGCAGACTTACATCTGTTCCTTTGTTGAACTTCGACTGGAAATTACAACCGAAAGCTGCACAATGCGGCATAGTAGTTCCTCTCCTGCAACAACAGGTTAGCTGAACGAAAGCGCCTGCCCACAACCAATATACATCATCGTCCCAGAATGCATTGCGTGAACAAAAACATGGCCGCTCCCAAGGCTTCAAAATAGTTTTAAACAACAAAGATTTAATGGATAACGAAAACATTTTAGTTATTTTCAACAATGTTTATGTAGTGGAGATAATTTGTAACATATTTAGAGTAACTTGACATAATAGTCGGGATTCCTTTTAAGAACAAAGAAGGAAAAACTGTGAAAGAAATCCTGTTTCTGACCGGAGCCTTCCTCCTGACGCTCAGACGACCACATTTTATTCATACCTGATTTCACTTCAAGCTTCTCTTTCTTTTGATTTATGCAACACAGTACACACAGAGGCCAGCCAAGTGAAATTAACCGTGTGTTGTGACCACATGCGGTAATTGGGATTATTATTATTTTTTGTATTACGTTTAGTTGTTGTCCCTGTGGTTTTCCCTTTAGTTTTTTAAATGGTTTTCTCAGTGTCTCTATAGGCTCGGCTGTCTCTCATTTGGGGAGTTTGTTGAGTTATGATATGATTTTGCTAAGCATTATTTTTGAAGGAGTTCTGTTCAGCTGACCTCTTTTATGGGTCCACTTATTTCTTAAAATAGCTTATTTTTCGGTGATTGTGTATATTGACATTATTTTTGTCATTTTGGGGGTATTGCAAAAGCCACATTTTATAAATTACACCCGTACCTGTGCACCCTTGGCTTCAGGGTCCCTGAAAAGTAAGAAAAAAAAGTAAGAAAAAACAAAACAAAATTAATCTTTTGTTCTTTTTGTGACTGGACATTCAAAGGTGTCTCACATAACAAGAAAAATAACAATGATAAAACTTTCAGATACTTGTTTTCTTAACAAGTTGAATGTTTTAAGTCATGTTAATTTATAAATTTGTTAGTTTCAACAAATCTCTAATATTAACCTCACTTTAACCTTTAACGGCTCTAATAGACTGTGTGTGCGCGCCTTGGCATTTGCTACTTCCAGTGGGGAAACTCCCGTAGAGCACTTCGTTTCCGGTGTGATATTCGTGCCTTGTTTATGGTCAAACTTTCCAAAACAAGTTAACCCAATGGATGAATCATGCGGCGATTTACATATCTCGCCCCCTAGACACAGTCTGTTTGACCTGCTCCCCTCAGGCAGGAGGCTCCGGTCCATTCGCACCAGAACCTCTCGCCATAAGAACAGTTTCTTCCCCTCTGCTGTTGAACACATGAACAATAACCGTATGACTGTTCTCACCACTAACACATGATCCTACGCTGTGTCACTGCATCATTCCATGTTTGGCACTGATCACCACCTGCACTCATGTGTATATATCATGTATATATCTTTCTACGTAGCACTTTTAATTCTTATTCTTACTTTTATTTTTTTCATGTCTATTTAAGCGCAATTTATGACAGTATGTTTGCACTGAAGCACCGCAGCAATTTCCTAATGTTGTAAACCTGCTCAACATTTGGCAATAAAACCCATTCTGATTCTGATTTACATATCTCGAGATGTCTTGGGCATTTACCATTTATATATCTGTAGATGATGTTCATCGACTTGAACTCGATTATTCTACACCAAGAGCAGAACAATTAAAACTATATATTGGATTTGTGAAATGTTTAAATAAAGGTTCATTTAATACATTTTCATGCATCTGGACCACAGTAGAACAGATCTCATACTACAGTCCAATTTTGCTTTATTAGCCGTTCTTGCAACTTTAAACTTTGGGTTTTTCAGTTGTTCTCACTTCCAGCTACTGTACATCTGACCTGCATCCTGTGTAGATACCTTCATAGAGAGGACATTAAGTTAAACTCCTCTGAGATATTAAATTACACATTGTGCGACAGTAGGGGGCCCTGCATTGTTTAGCGTTTTTTTTTTTTTGTTTTGTTTTTGCATTAATGCAATTAATTAAATCTATGAATGAGATCCTTGGAAATTGGTCATAAAACCTGTGCAGAAAGCAAAGAAACACAAGATTAATCCAGGTTAAAAAAGCAGTACAGAGAGGGGGGGAAAGCAGTGGCCAGGATTATAAGAGAATATGCATTTGCTGTTTTGGTCAGTATTTTAATATATAGTCAAAGTTAGCAGCCCTTTTGCTTTATATTATCTGCTCTTGATGGATTTAAGCTGTATTCCCTGGACCAGAGATCTGAGGTGACTTCAATCAACAGCTGATGGTTTGTGTTATTGTTGATAGTTAATATCGTCAACTAATAGGGTTCATTTGCTTCAATAAAGTGTATTTCATGTAATCAAATGCTTTTCGTCTGCTTTAAGGTGATCAGAATTTGAAATTTGAGATGCTGTATCGTTTAAAGCAAGTTCAAAGAAAGTGCTGAAATCTGTCTTTATTGAAGTTTCACAAATCACAGAAAGTTTTCATAAAATCGTTGGTTTGTTGTGCTTTTGTTCTGCTGTTAGTGTGGAATAATCAAGTACAGGTTTGAAATGTCAGGGTTGTGTAGTTTTTGCTCTGCAGCAGATCAAACGTGCTTTATCCATTTCCCTAATCAGAAGTTACAAAGGCAAAAAAACCAACTTCAGCCTCGTATTAAAATGCACATTTGTGTGGTAATGTTATAAAGCTGTTGTGAAATCTGTTTATGTTGTCCTAGTAAGGCTACCACGAGGGCAGCCACTAGAGGTCGCTAGAAGACCGGTGTGTCGCTGTGTTTTCCAGAAATTGATGTAGCCACGTACACTGCTGCTACAATTCAATTAAAAAGCGGTTCGTGCTTGAGAACCCTGTGTCTTATTGCCAACGAACATGACAAAAGCCATGGGTCACTAGTTGAAAACTTGAGGATTTCTTACCTTGTATAGTCCCGACTGTCATCAGCTGATGTGGCAAATCGCTGCAGTCCCTGAGTCGACTGATAAGACCCGAGCTGCAGCCTGAGCTCGTCGAGCTCCCCTGATATGGTTTCATATTTAACGCGATGCTCCAAAACTCCAGGTCGCTCGGTCTTTTTCGAAAAATTATTCCAGTGGAATAACGATGGGACAACTTTGGGCTGAAGACAGCGCTTCCCACAGGAAGACACGAAGATGTCTCCAGTCTCGAAATGCCGACTACACACTCTAGAGCTGGTGGTAACAATGAAGCCGTGCCTTCTGATTTTCATCAGCCATTGTGCGCGCAATTCAGGATCCTTGGGAAAGCAGTGGAAACTTAACATCTTGTTGAACCTCCCCCCAGCGGTGCACAGCGGGACACAGCAGTGGTGGGTGTTCCCGCCTTCTGCTCTTTGTAGCTTAACGCGATCTTTCCGTTTTCGTATTTTGGACATGATTTTGGTGTCTATCTTCTTCGCAGTAGCGACAGATCGCAATATAAAGCTGCCGGAAATGTACAACTCTACATCCGGTCTTAAAACAGGAAGTTAGCGTTTTCTCGTTCACAAGGTCATTTCCTTTCCTCAGCGATCTCCCTGCGCCGAGCAGCAGCAGGAAAAAACAAACCCTGCGCAGTCCTACAAAGCTAGCTTTAGTTCTTCGTTGTATTTCAGGTTTACTGAAGGCATTTTAATCGACCAAAGCGAGCGCGTGGAACACCTGGGTCCCTCCACGGACGACGGGAGATTAATGGAGAGGTAAGTTTACACTGTTTGTCGGTGTCCTGATTAGATCAGCGCGGAAGCTTCCAAGAAAACATGAATCCGTGACATCTGGTTAAAAACGGAATTGTAAACTGGCCGATGGTTTCCACACAGCCTACAGCAGATCTACTGCTCTAAAGAAAACAATCTCCCTTTGGTTGTGGTCACTAAATGACTAAATGGCCAAAGGCAAACAGGCGACCACGTGTCGTGTTCTCCACATACACAGAATATTATTATGGGCCTCTTTTCTTTTTCTTCACACCCAGCCATAAATCTTCCTGTCGGCTGGAGATCTTTTCATAAAAGCTCTTGAGGTTTCAGAGCTGAGACATGAAGCTGTTGTTCCTGTTCTGATAAGAACAGGTGGGTGTGTTCTGCCAGTCAGTTTGAGGTGGGAGGAGGGGGATCATCCTCCTCCCTACCCTTTTTATGTGAGTACCTCGAGAGCTGGTAGCTTAAATGACTTGGATGTTAACAGAGAGCGTCTGTCCTGATAGCCGGTGTCTTTGGACCTTGGATTTATATTTTCATTGTGCCATCTACACATAGACAGCACGACTATGTTGCAGTTGTGTTGTAGTACAGTCCTCTACATGCTGCTGCTGCTGCTGTGTGTTCTGGTCAGTGCCCATGAAGGTAAGCTGTGTAGCTGCATGCTTGTTGTAATGTATGGAGTAGTTTGGGTGCATTTCTCTAAGGGATGGTCATGTGTCATATGTGCTTACATTTGAGTGATATGGGAACAAATTCCAGATTAATATCCATTAAAAATTAAATTGACTTCTAGACCAGGCATAAAGAAAATATGAGCCCTCGGTGAGAATTTCAGGCAAGAAAAAAATAAATGAATGAAGTTCAAGTTTCCTTAAATGGGACTGTGCTGTTTATCAAAACTTCTGTCAGCTTATTATTATTAAGTAGTTAAAAACATTGGCACAATTTCTGGAGATTCTGGCTGTGAAACAAAAAGAACAGTGCTGATGTGAACTCAAGGAAACTTCCCCCCCTTTTCCCCAGAGAGAGAGAGAGGAGAGGAGACCGCAGCGAAGAACTGCTGCTCTGCTGCAAATACAGCAGCCACACAGAACTTAGGGGTTATGAATGTTCAACAGGAAGGGACACGAACACAAAACTGTAGCCTGACAAATTTGACCACAGAGCAAAAAAAAAACCCCAAAACACTCTCACAACACGATCACTGTTGAGAATTTTTTCACTGTACTGTGATAATAACTACTGTGAATCTGGAATTTTAAATATTATAAATATATATATTTACACCGTGTGTGTTCAAGTTTTGACACACTCAGAGTGAAACCGATCACCTGTTAGCTCATCCTGCACATGCACTCTTACAACCTGTTGAAGACAAACTATTGATCAACTCTGGCCTGTTTCTATTTTCATACTGATCCTTTTAAATAATGTGTACATTTTTGTGTTCTGGTTCAAATGCATGTAAGCTTTTGTGACCTGTAACTTACTAATAAAGATAAAAGATGTTTGTTTGTTTGTTTGTTTGTTTGTTTGTTTGTTTGTTTGTTTGTTTAAGTGAGACAAAACAATTCTGCATCATCATCTTTTATTGAGCAGACACCCGTGTTTATTGTGATGAATGGAGTACAGGACTGAACAAGACGTGTGTATTGAGTTGACAAGTGGCATCTAGGGAAAGAGTCACCTTGTAATTTATTTCACAAAACCGCACTGTGTTAAATTTCAGCATGCTGTGTGAGCTGTACTGCCTGTGGCTCTGCAGGAATCAGTGGTTTCTGCTCCAGAAGTGAGCGATGCTGTCGATGTCGTTAACTTCTCATTTTGTTTCCTCTTTTTCAGACATAAACACCACAGCTGGACAGAACGTCATTCTGCCATGTCAAGCTCCAAACTACAACATCATAGTTGCAGATTGGAGCAGAGCTGACCTGGGATCAGAATATGTCCTTTTGTACAGGGATGGATCTTTTGATCCAGAAAACCAGCATCCATCTTTTCAGAACCGGGTGGATCTGCAGGACAGACAGATGAAGGCTGGAGACGTGTCTTTGATTCTGAAGGATGTGACGATTAATGATACTGGAGCGTACGAGTGTCGTGTCCTCCAGAGAGGAAACAACCGTGGGAAAAGAGCTGTGTTGAAGAACAACCCCATCAGCATCATCTACCTTCATGTTGATCCTCCAGGTGAGTGAGTAGAGTTGAGTGTGTGTGTGATCAGAGGTGAAGCTGCTTCCTGGTTGTTGATGTTTGTTTCTAAAGATGTTGTTGATGAGACTTTGTAGAAAGCAGCTGGTCTGAGTGATGTGATCAGAGTGCAGTAGATAATGTCTGACAGCAGTTTGAAGAGGAAATGGATTCTGTTCTGTTCTTCACTCATCACCTACCTGACAGCTGACACCTCACACCTGTTTCTCACCTGCAGGTCAGACAGGAGGACACACAGAGGATGGAGGGAAGAAGGCTGGGAAGGAGGACGGAGTCAATAGAGGACGTCCTGGTCTGTCAGCTTTTGGTGTGTTTTGTGTTCTTATAGCTGCTTTTGCGATCTCTGGAAAATTGAAAAACAAGAATTCCTCACTTGCTCCACCTGAACAACAGAAAGCCTAAAAAGAAGAAGCTCTTCACTTTTTTCTCTTTCTTTGTCTTCAGACAAACCAGTTTACTGTAGCAGTACACACATGTCATGGCATCCCTGCAGATTCAGCTTTAAATATGACCACAACAAAACGATTCATTATTGCTACATAAGGGCTCTCATACAGGACATCAGTTTCAGTCACGTGTCTCTGAAATTTGCTCTGACTAAATGAACACGTGAATTTTGTCAGATTCTGTTACTGTGTAATCTCAGAGGTTAAACTGAGGTCCAGAAGTGTCTGATGTGGTTGTAGAGCACTCATACAATGATGTTACATGATTTATTTATTGGACACAGAAGCGGTGATTATTTTTCTCTGCTGTTATGAAGTGTTTAATGTTAAAGGTGAAATCAGAAGTTTCCACCTTTAAGATTGTGTGATCCTCTGATTACTCTGAAGTGCTGAGCTAAGCCATGCTGTGGTTTTACTCTGTGAAAGGAAAAGTTTGTTAACTCATGTTCGTGTTTTGAAAGTATTTGAAGGTATCCTGTAACCCGAGCTGTCAGATTCATGCAGATTAATGCTGAGAGTAAAATTGCTTCTTTCATGGATGTGACCATCTTTTATGTCATACCTTTCTTTCATCTTTCTCAGTCAATCTGGGCCCTTATTTTTCCTCTGCTGGTCCTGTCTTCTGCGGCGTGCCTCAAGGATCTGTCCTTGGTCCCCTGCTCTTCTCACTGTATATGCTTCTCTTAGGCGCAATCTTTGAGAAGTACAACATC